TCCCCTGTTTCACCACTTAAAAGCAAATACTAGCTCATGTACTTGCAGTGTGTATCAGCTGGCAAAAGGCTCTTGTTGATGATCAGGCTTTCCAATCATTCTGATATTGCTCTTATGAAATAATTGCACTGTAATTGTCAGCTATTGGACATTCTGTGGTGTTCTACCCCCTAGTGGTCAAGGGGGATATTGTTTGAAAGGTGAAATTCAAGGCAAGACCATTTAAGCCAAATCCTGAACATTAAATTTAAGCACTTACATCATTTACTGTCTGTAGAAGTAAAGGTGAAAAATGCAGAGCTGTGACAAACACAAAGTAGTCAATTGTGTCAAAACAGTAGCGATGCAGTTCTAAAAGTCTGCCATTTCAAACTAGCATTAGGTTTTCTAGCGTAATGAGTTACTCAAATCAAAAGCACTCATTTTAAACTGACAATGAAACAAAAAGGAACCATTTCTTTATTATCAGCTTTGCAAAAGTCTTACGTTTTAAAAATGTCTTTGGTTATTTTCCTTGAAATCAGTTTGAGATGGGAGCAAATGGAATCAAAAATAGTGATAGCACATTAGGGGCAAGACGAAATTTAATCATTTCTTCATTTTATGAGACCCGGGGCAAGTTCCTTCCACAGCAAACAGCATAACAGCAAAACTATAGTCAATAATTTGTAAAGAAATAAACTCAGGGTACCAACTTTGGCCCCATAAGGCGATTTATTCATAAAATCACATAAGTAATGTTATATTAAATATATATATTACATTGACATTTGGAACAAAATCCACTGAAATTGTCCAAATTTGGAACAGAATCTACCGAAATTTGCAAAACTGTGCATATGAAGTTTCTTCCTGCTCCAATATGAGGCGAGGTGAGTTTTTCACAGCAACAATCCATACAGTATGTGAGGGGGAGTATGTGAGAATATAGTCAAATACTTCAATGCATAATCCTTAGCAGGTTAAAACCATAAGGCAGCATTATGGTTTTTGTTCCCAGTAGAGATGGGTTACATGGAGGTCACAGAACTATTAGAAGAAGAAACATTCACAGATAGCCCACAGTGTTTTTAGCCTGATCAATATCAGGCTTGGACCAGCTCGACTGGAGATTCAGGAAATGCATAAGGAAGTGTTCGTAAAAAGAATTGACACACTCAGGTCTGAAATTCTGCTTTCATAGCAGCGAACAGGCCTGTTCAGCAAATCACTAGAATTCCAGAGCTAAACAGGAAACTTCAGAACGAGTCACATAGTTTAGCGTAGACACAGAATTATAATTAAATCAATCATCATGCATACAGGAACAGGGCATTATGGACTGCTTTAAACTAGAGCAAAGATTCATTCACTTAAACAAAGAACAAGAGACCAGACAGAAATAAACCCACTCAAGACAACCATGATAAATACATGCCTAGATACTGTAGAATCCCCCAAGTAATGAATACGATTACAACAAGAGTTCTGTTCTTTTAAATACCAAACACACAGAAAATGGCTTGTTTCAAAATGTCAGTTTTTTTTTTTATTTTCCTGCTTACTAAAATATGACTAGTTCATTTTTTACATTTGAAAGCCATCATTTGGAACAAAAGTCAAAATATTTCTCTAAGCACAGACATTTCCCTTTTTATTAAAAAAATAATAATGTCACTGAAGGATTCTTACAACTATATCGGGATGACAGAAGAAGCAGGTCTGCAAAAATAAGCATCTCTCTTTGTTTCCCTAGCATGAGGGAGACTGCATCAACATGCCAGAACATGATCAACACGCTGCATGGTTATTGTTTCCTTACATCCTTCTTGTTATTCTGCAAGTATGCAACTCCTTACAAAATCAATCTAAAATTGTCCTTTTTTGAACTCACCCCGTTTTAATTTCTCTCCCACGGGAGATGTGGTCAGACTGTGATTTCTGGACCTGAATTAACTAACCTTTCAGTAGATAGAGGTGCTCAAATCTCAGCCCTTTAGGTTCACATGCCCTACCATAAAACCCTCATCCTCATCACCGGTCAAAGGGTGATTTGTATATCTCCAAGAAACCCAAGAGAGCGTTCTCTTAAGCAAATTCTGGATGAAGCCCAAGTAAAGTCTCCAATGAGACATTATTGGAGCACAGAAAGGATCAGCACTCTGGACAGAGGAAGAGGTGGTCTTTCAGAGCCTCATGAACGTACCCGCCACGCTTTCCTGATAACTTCGTTACAAAGCTGAATCGCTCGCTTGGTAATTTCTCTGATATGACATCACAACAGTGGTTCCCAGTTACTGGACAAGAATGCACAAACTCCTCTGAGCCCTCTTGCTTGTAGATCAATGGTTTTATGGACCCTATTACCCCTTCAAGTAAGGCAGAGCGGAGAAAAAGAAGGCTCATAAAATGTGAGATTTTCAGTCCCGACTGCAGAAATCACACCTAGTTTGCCAGGAATCTTGGTGTGAAGAATAGGATAAGGGTTGCAAAGAAGAGGAGTTCATTCAGGTCATCTGAATGCTCTTGGTTGCAAGTAATGAATTGATCTGGAAATCTCACCCAGCTGCTTCTCAAAGGAGAATGTGGTATTAGTTTGAACAACATAGCTAGTGAGCTGGAGAAGGAGTTACTGTACTTCAAATCTAAGGTTCTTTTCATATTTCGACTTATTCATAATTCAGCATTACAGATGCCTTTTGAGATCAGGCCCTGCAAATGTCTGCTTCCCACAAACTGCATGCAGTCCTGTGCTAATCAGCAGAGCTACTGATCACCATAATTCACTCCCTACAACACTGAGGGAATTATGCAAGACTGATAATTTTGTTACATAACTGTGTAGCTGTTCAGCTCGGTGATGTGACTTTAACGTGCTTAGCAACTATAAGCAATAACATGCAGTTGCTAAGCTCGTAAAAGTATGCAAATATGGCATTTTATCGTTTTTTTTTAACAAATGTGACCAATGACAAAAACATGAAATTAAAAACCCTGACATCTCACACCCAGGATGTTAATGTCTTCTCCCTGTTCTGTAAACAATTACTTCAGCTATTTTCACAATGAGTGCGCAAACATCTGTAAAATCGACAAAAAATAAAGGGTGTACTGACCTTAGTGTGTTTACTTTTCTACTTTTACAATTACCTTTTCTTCAAATTAAATACCGGTAAAAAAATACCAAATTTACTTATCTTAAGTCTTTTCAAATGGATTGCCCAGCACTTTTTAAATACTTGCAAGAGGAAATAAAAAAACGTAGTTTTAACATGAGCAAAAGAAATGTAAATAATGTTAAAAAATAAACACACACAGAAATCAAACCATACACATGAAAAATACCTTAAATTATGCTTTGCAATTTAATTCTAATTTCTTCATAAGAAAAGCAATATCTTACTGTACATTCAAAACATAACTAGGCATATCTGGAGGTGTCTATAATATATATGCTTTCGTTTTTTTTAAAAAAGTGTTCAAACACTAACTTTAGACTTTAGTCTATGTCGCTGTTAAAAATTATTTATAAACAATATATGAACATGTGATAATTGATGCTATAAACGGTTATAGACTCTAAGATTAGGGATAGAGGTTTGCTTTGAACTATGGTGAAGATTAGGGCTTGTTACTCATGTTATTATTCTGTAGTTGAAACAGTTTTTACGATATTGTGACCTCATTCAATTTACAATTATACCTCAAAGGGATTAAAAACATAAATACTATTAGTTTAAGTACTCATTTGTTGCATTTTGAATGGCTCTCCACATATATTTAATTTATAAAGTGTTAATAATTCCACTTTTACTTCAACCAATGGAAAGTAGATCTATGACCACAATAGATTTTAGAAAATATATTAAGTAAAGGCATCTCAATGTGAAAAAACAAACATTTACAGGAATGAAAACAGAAGTATCACAAATGGCTTTGTGTTGATGTTCTAAAAAACGTTCAAATGCAATAAATATGGCTGCTTAAATCTCCTAGAAATAGAAATGAATGGCCAAAGATTGGCTCCCCTTCATCGGATTGTAAAGGCAGCTCACAGTGAAGTCAGATCACTAATTGGTCTTTGATAGTTGTGACTCACAAGCAAACCAGTCTTGAAGAACAAAATAGATTTAAAAATCTCTTATATTCTCTTTATTGATTGTGCACAACATGACATTGCATGCATTGTTCAGTAACATCAGTATTAATGTTTTTAATACTATATTAAGATTGCCTACAAACTTAAAATTGTGAAGGGTTTGAAAAGTACAGCAGTGATGTACTCAAGGTTGAAAATCTGCCTGGGAATAACTGTGCTTTGTTAAACAGGCTATATATTTACTGCTGGAAAACACCAGCATGGCCAACACTGTTATCAGCCTTTCTACAATGCCCTTCAGATGTGCATGAAATGCAAATATGCAGAACACGAATTTCAAAAAATGTAATTTTTCTGCAACAAACTTTTAAGGTTAAAATTATCCCAACACACGTGATTATTGCACAGCCCCCCCTCGTTTTCAATACCTGCTCAGTCCAGTCCAGACTCACAGCAAACCAGAGACTGAAAGCACATTTCTACTGAATAATCGAACAGATTTCATTGTAAATAATGAAAATGAGTATTTAAAATAAATATCAGATTTTGCCGTGGTAGGACTTTTGAGAGTACAAGGGAAGCCCTTCTTTCAGGGCCATTTCCATTTTCTTCTGTCCAGAGACGACATCTGATTGAGCCACACCGGCTGCCTGCTCTGGGTGTGTAGGTTTATCCTGCAACGAGGTCTCCAGCCAGCGTTCACAAGCCGACTTCATTAATAATCCAGATTCAGCCACCAATCCACTCAGACAAAACCCCTCAGAAGGGATGTACTGTAAGTGGAACGTCGCGCCATTACCCATCACGATTTAGGCCTTGTCCAGCTTTAGGTCTTCAAAATCCTTCATGATAACCGGTCTCATCACATGGTGTCAACACCATTATCAGAGCAAGATTAAATAACACATTTCTGGGTTCTTACCTGAAGCATTGGTGCAGCACTGTCATGTATAGAAAGAATGTGTGTAATGTTGTGCTTGGAAAGCTGCTCTCGGTCTCGGGCATCTGAAAATATGGAATTATTTATTAATGAGGACATTAAAAAAAATATAGATCATGCACATGTAGCATCAGATTGAATTTTCCCCACAAAGCCCCAGACAGACTCTGCCTCACAAACAAACATATGGCCAGAAAAACAAGATTTTCTCATCTTGAACTGAAAGAAAAACCGGAAAACCAGTGTTTCTAAAACAGTCCAACACCTTTGCACAAAAGTACTAAAACAACAAATGTTCTAACCAATTTTTGTCTGCAAAAGGAAGCCAAATGTTCTTTACATCTCATAGATGTATTTATGGAATTACTTACAAGCTGTCTGTTCTAAGATTTGACTAAAAGCTAATTCAAGAGAAAGAGAAAAAGCTTTATTAAACACCATGCGACATTGAAACTCTTTAACAAGAAATAGTTTAATGTGTTAAACATGAATATTATCTATGTTTTGACACAGAGACCCCAAATATCCAGTTGTATTTAAGACTTTTAATCTATTTTAACTTGCCTTTGGAAAAGGGACACAATCATTAATATATTTATAACATTACCGATATTGTATGGTACTTACTGTATGGTTTTAAAATATAATACATACGATTAAATCAATCCTAACACAAAGATACAAACTAATAAAAACTGGTAGAGCACGAATTTTACACAGGCTCTGAATCAATTATCTACGCAGGTGGAAACGTATTTATTTGTGAAATATTTACAGGTTCATATCGGGAAAACGGGAGGTCAGTGAAATGACTGTTTAAAGTAGTCACTCTTTCAATGAGCTACTGGCACGTCCTGTTTGAGGTCGATATAATAATCTTGCACAGGCCGTCAAAGAGAACAGCATCTGGATGGTAAAGGAGAACCCAAATGTTAATTTTTAGATAGATGTTTCTCTCCACACAGCAGATATATGTGAGAGTTCAACTATTTTCCCCAAATACTAACAGGTTGAAATGTATACTTTACAATTTAGTATAGGGGACCAAGTTATAACATGATGTATTTCACCTTAAGACCACAAAACACAGTTTGTATACTTAATTTGTTGTTTAACTGTTTGAAGGGGACATTATTTTTAGCCTTTGCCAGAGCTGTCTGGTAGTTTATCAGAGAGCATTCAAACCAAAATCACTTTGACTTGACAAACAGACTTCTGTTGCATACAGTATCACTGGTATTTTCTCCCTGTGTTTAAAAGTGACTCAGGCAAAAAAAAACTTCAGCTTCTCCTGAAGCGCATACAAAACAATTTTTCAACCTAAACATCAGAACATTTTATTCAAGTCTGCTGTCCAAAGTACAGCTGGGAAAATGTAGCATTTTTGTCCCCTAATAAGAAAAATATTTAATAAAACTTCTAACTCAAAGCTCAGAAAGACATTTTGTCTTAACAAAACTAGAAACAGTGAAAATTAAGTGAATTATATTCAAATGCAATTGTTTTACTATTTAGTTTTGTTTTAATTTAATAAGCCTTTTATTCTCAAAGTTCAGGCTCTTAAAAGGGGAACAGTGCTGTAACTTGTCTCTCTCTCTTAAATCACCGTTTTTGAAAAAGATACCAATGCTATTTTGAAAATGCACATAAAACGAAAAGTGTAACCATGACCTTTCAGCTTTCAAGTTTGAAACACCGTTGTTGTCGTATAGTTTCTCCATGGCTAACAATCCACAAGAGAAAGTGTGATTTTACAGCAGTTCTAGTTTTTGATCTCAAGCGAAATTTTTAACTGTACAGTACAGTTCAATAGTGTTCAACACATCTTCAAAATGTTACAGCTTATATGCTTAAAATGCCTCTTACATTTCTACAGAAAATATTGTTACTATTTATTGAAATTTTAAAATACTGTCATTAATTGCAGAGAAAAATCTTACAAACACTGGTAACGGGCATAAGTGCTACCTTTCACAATTACTCCACGCACCTCAGAAAATGGGTGTAACTCTATATTAATTACTGTATTTGCTCAATCCCAGCTTTCGGATAGAGGTACGACATTAAAGGTTTAGCAATCTAAACGTTTCAGAGGATTTAAAATAAACACAGCACTCACTGTAACACAGATAAAGGAAAAGACCGAAATATTGACAGTAATTACTTGCCTTAACTTGAAATTTGAATACATTCGATTAGCGATGCTGTCAAAAAATATATTGTAACAGGCATAATTGTGCTTAAATTTTCAACATCAATTTCTGCTACGCCAGTAGAAGCCGGAAGGCGACTCAACCTGAAATTTTCGCACAACTGTCCCCAGAAGTTCATGGTCCCAGGGGACTCCTACAGCACTGGTGCACATTTCTATGATTTTCAGCTTTTTGTCTCAGACACATATGGAGAGCGCCGCTTGCTGGTGCAAGTCCATTCCAACCGATTTCTTAAACTTTTCACATATTTTTTTGTTTCAAGGGCATCTTTACTCCTTTTGTTAATATCTTCTGATATCAGGTAAAAAATAATATTACTAAATGTACAGCAGTGTGATGCATTTCACACTTTCCACGCTGTAAGGCATTCTGAAAATTGTACTACTGAAATATTATTAATTATTAATTAATTAATTAATTAATTAATATTAAACATTATTCTAACTTCAGACACCTGGCAATGAAAATTCATTACATCAAAAAAAAAAGCTTGGTTTCTTTAAGAGGAAGCAGTTCCTGCATCTGTAAATGGATGCTAAAGAAAGGGCATCAAGTATCCAAGCAATTACAATTGGATGTTTCTTCACAAATGCTATTAAATGCTAAATTCCAGAAATAATGCAAGTGATTCATGAAAAAGACAGACATAAAACTCAAAAGTCAACTCAATGCTGCTTAGAACATATTTCCTTTATAATTCCTAGACAAGAGAAAACGCCTTCCATGTGTCCAGTGCTGACGCTTTCCAGGCCTAATGGAATGGCAAAAAACAAACACAGACCTACAGTAACTGTCACTGGGATCGTGTCAGTCATGTATTTCTATGCAACATCTCACACAATCTAGAATTAGCGTTTTTGTGCTCATACACAACCACCCAAAATGTCATCATCGCATTTTCTTGATCTTTGCAAAACGTGAGCGAACTCCAAACAGCTTTGGTCCATCTTTTATAACCAGGCGCACTGAATCCCAGTTTCTGAGGGGGTGGGGGCTGTTCAGAAGGAGCTTTGTGCAGCGACAGTACTGCCTTTGTCTGTTCAGGGGTGTTGCCGAAGTAGTCTGCTGATCCATGTCAGAACCATGTCCTATTGAAACTGAATGCAGCCCTGCGTTTCACCAATTGATACCTTAAAGGGGAACTGAAAGAACTGCATAACCATTGTCACGAGATAATGTGCAATTAGACATTTTTTAATCTGAAAAATAATAAAATAGCTCATCTCTGAAAGCGAATAAGCGTACTTCAAAACCCGCTTTTTCCTGGCTAATGCCTCTCAACGAACAGCAGATATAGATGAACCAATACCTCTGCCAGATGGAAGAAGTTGCAATTTAATGCAGAACTCAACTATCCTCACAGAAGCAAGTAAACAGTGACTAACGAACCATAAACGGTTTCTGCAAAAAAGCGTACAAATAACATACAAAAGGCTTAGAAACCTTAACCTCCCTTCATAATTATGTAAATTAAAACCATCATACAGCTCATACTCTAGCTTTTTACCACAGAGACATGTTTAATATATTTTACTGTACCTTCCTCTTATTGCACTGTGCAGTGTCTTAGGATGTTGTACTGTGAAAGGACCTATATAAAATTAAGGTTATTGATAAGTTCTTTACAGCAGCATTTACTGGGCACATCAAGTTTTAGATGTATAGCTGAAGCAAGAATATAAACATATAGAGATACAAATTGGATAGGGTCCCACTCGATGTCAGTATAATATAAGAATGTATTAATAGACATGTTGAATATTATTCAAAGGATTACTTAGAGAAGTGAATAATCAAGAGACTCTTGTTTAATCGAATAAGGTTCAATATTAAGAAAAAGGAAAACACTTTGCTCGGTGAGGTGCTTTTAAAATGAGTGTGTAACATTTTTAGATTTTATTAAGTAAGTAACATTATCCAGTCTAGAAATCTTTTGTTTTTTGGGGGGGTTTAATATTCCTTTTTCATCAGGGGCATGCAGAAATTTGGATGGCACAGTGTATTAATCCAATTTTTTTAAAGCAAGGCAAACTATGCATGAGTGTTATAGAGTCTAACCCATCAAATTTACCAGTTAAATCCAATTGACGCATTGTCAGGTGTTATTAACATCATTTGTTCCTCTCTGCACATCCATAAAGTAAAAGATTACTTTTGTACAATACAGATCTACCAGTGTTAACTGTTAGCTGAAACAAAAGGGCTACAATTTCGGCAGAAGATCACCATAGAATTTTTTCTGCAGAAAAAAAATGAAAAACACTTGATTGACAACAGCAGAACAATACAAAATATCAAAGACCTCTGCACAGCAGTGGAAGTCTTAGCCTTAGCTTTGACAAACTAATGTAGAAGACCTGTTTATTTCCCCCTGTTAATGTCTCCCCATCTTTCACCACCATCAGGGGACCACTGCTTTAAAACATCCCACTTTGCACACTGGGTGCATGAGGTCAGTTTGCATTTACGCAAGACAGCTCTGAGCTCTTGAAATGAGTTCAGACCTCTACCCCAAGAGCAACACATGGAACTGGGTAGTTGTAGCATGGCACATATCTGTCCTTGAAATCAGAGGAAGTGGCAAGGATACCTGCAAATACTACTAAGTGGTTGAAATTGCTGCTAGGTGCACGATTTACTCCTTCACTCCTTTCCTGATACAGGTATTTTAAAGTCTGTTGCAATCATTTTTCAGTGCTCTCAACTGAAACGGGGGCATTTAAGGCCACTGTCAAGTGAATTAGATGCAGTTTGTGTAGAATCACAGACCAGTTCCAGGTTTTGGGGAGTGTGCTTAAAACTATAATAATATCTCTCACTTCTTGCTGTATGAGCATACAATGTCCCTAAAGAGCCAAACAAATGTATGTCGAACTGCCATGTTCACACTGGCAGTGAATATTGTTTTTAAAATGGTTTATAACGTACCTTTAAAGTTCCCAAGATACAGATGAGGGAGGACCTAGAAAAACAAGAGAAACATAGTTTGAGTTGAAAGAAAAATGGCCCAGTGCACACTTGAGTGTCCACTGGGGTAGTTTATCAGCTGAGGTAATGACAGGATTGGGGTAGTTCCAGGACATGCTTCCTGCTCTTCATGTCATGCAAAAAAAGAGGAAAGCAGGGAGGGGGGTGATGATGGAATTAGACACATGCAGAGATTTTTTTTTTTTTTTGCATTTTGGCTGGAAAAGTTGGATTTTTCCCAGCTTTCCTTTGGAAGCTTGTCCTGCACCGTGGTTGAAAGAGAACGGGAAAATTTCTGTTTCCCTTTCACAAAGCAGCCTTCACCAGTAAAGTAGTTAGTACAACTGGCTTAGTATGAGCATGTTTTCCAGCGTTTCTCTTACCCAGACTGATTTTACTTTGAACGATCTCGAATCTCGCTTCAGCACTGCCATTTCTGCCCAGCAAAGCCTACAGGGAGCCCGACTTCAATTTGTGAAGCTCCTGCTGTTCATGCTGGGTGTTACGATTGGCGGCCCTGAAAGCCTGAAGTGCATTGTAATGCCGGCTAAGAGTTTGAGACGCTGTCTGGTTGGGTGCATCCAGGACAGGAGAGACGTGATCGACCAGGTGAGGTAGTTTCTGTTTTTACTAACTGTCCTATACTGTTACTTCAATTTACTTCCCCATTTCACATTCTTACACAACAGACCAGATTCTGGGTAGAGAGAGGCTCCGCAGCCACTCTTGACAGCTCAAGTATTAAGTAGAAAACACCTAATTCTTTTACATGGGAGCATGACAGGGATCAAACTGATCCGGACCATTCAGAACCTGCCGGTCGAATCTACCCAACATGCCTCTGGGAGGAGGAGGTGAGGAGCCTGTTCAAACACTGCGAGAACAGGCGAACACCACACAGACAGCCGCTCGAGCCCAGAACCCCAGCCAGCACTTTGGAGTTAGGAGAGAGCACGCTGCCATGCTGTCCTGAATCCACACACACCTTCTAAAATCACACACTGCTCCTAATGCCCCCAAACCTCCATCTCCATTTCTGCAGTCTTTCGGAAAGTGCCCGTGTCATTTTCTCAGCTCCATCCTGAAAGTTCTCTCTTGTACAGCATGCGTGTTTAGCCAGAGTTAACGTCTCTCACGTGGAGGAACAGAAGAGCGCTCTGCCTAATGTATCCCTGAACTTACCCAAATGGAAAAAAATTCAGGAAAGTGCTTGCCTTGCTGTTTTGTGCTTTACTTAATCACACATTTCATTATGTTCTTTTTCATCGCTCATTGAATTCTAAGGTTCTGGAGAGTCGTAATTCAGTACATATCTTACCTCCCGTTCAACCTGGTTTCATCTAGCACAGACAGTGCACAAACGTTCTGTGGGAAAATAATTGTCTCCCTGGTTACATAATTGCCATACAATCCAGTTCGCTATGAAAGTGTTTTTTTAGAGCTACACCTTTTTTTTTCTCCCCATCAGACATCTTGCGGAAGCCAGCCATGTGTTTTTATTCATGAATATAATATTCATGGTTATGTCTGACTTTTCCAGATACCTGGCCTTTTTGTTTTAACTAGCAAGGTAGCGCATATACAATATTTCATCCAATGTTTTCCCAGTCTAAAGAAATAGTATATACACACAATTTATAAACAGCTGCTTCCCGTGATGAGCAAAAATAAAAAATATACAGAGTATTGGAAGGCATCCTGGAAAATGCAGATCACCCAGCCACCAGCTGGTCCCATGAGCAGCATCCACAGTGCATTATGGGAAGAAGCAGCTGAACCCTTGACCACAAGAGTTACCCAGAATCTCCTCCTTCCCTACAAGAACCACCTGTCCTGCAGGTTGCTTTGCCACTAACAGCAAACAGGCAACTAAGCCTTGGATCCAGGAGTTTCTTATGAGTTCCCACTACATCAGAAAATAAGAAACGTTCTAAATGATATGTGGCCATTGGACCCATCCAGCCTGTCTGGTAGTTAGCAGCAAATTGATCCAAGGATCTCATCCAGATGTCTGCTGCAGGAAACCTGGCCAACAACATGGCTGGGTCGCTTGTCCAGTACTCTCACAACCCTTTGGATACACGCCTCTCCTCTGGTTCGCTCTCAGGGATGACTCTGAATGCTTGCAGTCTGTCTCCCTTGCAGTCACCTCTGTTCGAGTCTGAGACTGGGTCCCTGACGCATTGCTGTCTCAGAGGGAGAAGAGAATAAACAGGCTTGGAGAGTATGTGAGAAAGGAATGTGGACCATGCCTTACTATAACTGGTTATATCGCTAGTTACGTGAGAATCAGTGCCTAACCACACATTCACTTGTTGAATACACAGTAGAATGTTAATGCAAGGGAACATCTTAAATGTTCGTCTAAGAAAATTAACATCTGTGCCTCGTGAAAGACTAACGTAATCACCAACCTAATTTCGTTTTGGGTCATTACATATATAATGTGAAACATGGCCATTTTTATATTAGCCCCCTTTGATTTCAATTCTATTTTATAAATCCGTTTTCCCTTGGGAGAAATGGCTAGGGTGTAAATATTTGGCATGAGTGACACTCGGTTCAGTTTAACTAATTTTGACCCTCATCTTCCATAACTGGCACAGGGAGATGATTCAGGGGGTCATGTTAAAACTCTTGAGTGAGGCCATTTTTTTAATTATATTAATATTTTTGCAAAACGTACAACAACAAAAATTGCCTTTTTCTGTGTCCTCTGCATCCCATCCATCATGCATAACCTTGGATCTTGTCCTCATTTTGATATGCTGTGGTCTAGGCTCACCCACTGCTGGTTCAGACACAGCACAGACCTGAACGTGGAGTGACAGATGAGGCTTGTGATCGACCTGACAATACAATTAGCATAATTCAATGTTGTTGTTTTTTCTACTTAATTATTAATTGTTGTGAACTGCTGTGGGTGGATTAGATTTGCGTTATTTAACTAAGAAGATCCATTGACCAGTGATAAAAAAACATATACAATTGACTTTAATGAAAACGATTATTGAGAATCCGCCTTTATGAAGTGAAGTAGACTTAGCTTAGACCAGCTGTAATAACTGGTTTGACGCGCAATGAGTAAGGACAAAACCCTAGAAGCATCTAACTCTTTTTGGAATGTCACCATTCAGGGGGTTGGTTGAGACTTTAAAGACTGAAGTTCTCTCAATGTCTGTCATGCACTTTTGGTTTCAGGTCACCTCACCAGTCATTGCCTCCACTTAAAAGTTTACTTTCTGTTTTTAGTTACCACTGTCAGACAACAGTAACTGGAGTGCTTGATATAAAAAAAACACCCAAAGATATACCTGAAGAGTTGTGTAAGAATCTGTAAGGATTAGGCAAATCATGGTGGTACTGTATCTAGGGGTTCTGGAGAGACGCTTTAGGATTCTATGTAATGCATCTGAGCACTGCTCACAAACTGTTGGGTGAGCCTTTAGTATTACAAAGTGTTTTGGAGTTTTTCTTCAGTTTTAATTTTCTGGAGAAGAACGTTATTGGTTGTGCATCATGGAGGACTACAGACGCTAAAGGGTTCTGAGTCTAGGAGCGCAACAGGGTTTCTTTATTACAGTGACACATGTCAGCACCATAAGCTAATGCAGCTGAAATGTAAGAACTAGAAAGCATGCTGTATATAACCGTCCAGCGTGGGAGTAACTGAGGGCTGGTACGCATTGCATCTGCTGATGAGAAACAAACAACTGATATTTACTTCCTGTCACTATGTTTGATTCTTTGTAGAAACTGGAAATATGCTGACATCACTGGGGCTGGCAACTGGAAAAGAGAGAACTTGCAATCTGACAAGGAGAGGAAAAAACAATGAAGGCTTGGTTGCAATGTACTCAGTAATTTAGTGGTTTGTAAATGATGGATATGCACAATTTAATATACGAGAAGAGTAATAAACATATTCCAGGTTTCTGTGTCATAAGTGAGACGAAGTTGAATATCACAGAATTCTGCAATGTTTGCATTGTACATTTCACAGAAACGTTCATTGAATTTCAAAAGAAGCCCCATTTGCCATCTTTAAAATGCCATTCATACCAGGACTTTCATAAAACCTTTTGGAAATTAGCGTGTGATAGGAAATAGAAACAATCCTCAAACCCTGTTGCAGACAGCGCCGAAATGTGTCATCACAGTCAAAGCTGGAATGTCCCTGCATGTGTGATTATTTACGAAAGACCTTGAAATTCAGATGTTCTGTTTCCGATTGGCCTCCCTGTTAACTCTTCTTTTCTACACTGACTTCCTTCCAGAAACATTGGATCGCCAAATATAATAATAACAACGCAAGAGAATGTGAGCTGTCTTAATTCAGCGCTCGTACAACAAGCACAAAGCAGGCTGAGGCTTTCTGAGCCACTGAGTAAGCTTCTATAATTGTACCATTATCTAAAACAATAACCTCTGCAGCAGAAACTGCTCTAAGAGACACAGAGACAGTGCGGAGGGGAGTGTGGACATTTAAAATAACACCAGACTATGAGCAATTACTGAGAGCAGGCATCAAGAAATGTACTGTCCTGCGCTATAATACCACTCTGTTCTCATAAGCTGACATTTCTCATTATTTATAGCTTCAGCTGTTTTTGAGAGTACATATAAACGGGGAAAATTAGTCATTTAATAACCCCACACTAATCAGACTACACTCAACATGCTTCTATATTTTTTTGTTGCCAATATCTGCTACTTCCTCAAGGGACTTACCATTAACTGTGAGGAATGACATTACTGCATTAGGAAAAACGTGATTCTGGGGCATACCTGTACCTGTTGCACTTTCGATGCAACACACAGATCATTGTGCTCCGCAGAGGATCAAACAAAAAACAATCAATATCCTTTAGAAAAAAAAATGGACCTTATTTAACCATGTTCTTTCTTAAATAGTCACATTACATTTTTAACGTCTTCTCATAAAGAATTTGGTGTGTAAACAAATGACAGTAATTTAAAACCAAGCATACTGTAGCATTGCAGTAGCCAAACCTGTATGAAATCAAATCAAAAAGCCTGTTAACCATACATGCACATCTTTTACCCATTAGTCCTGGGTGACTACTTCTTCATAGGAGGGGACCCATTTTATCAGTATGGCTTTCTTATTTTTCAATTATCGTATCTGTAAAATGCAACAAAAAGATGTTACCATTTTGCGGCCTCTGACCTCACCTAGATCAAATCAGCTAAGCTCATAATCATAATAATGTTGCACCCCACACCCTTATCAGTACTTCCTACAAGTGTCATAGGGGGCCCATCATTGGTTGAGACACAGTAGAGTTAAATAGAAAGATTACAGGTAACCTTCAAAGTGAAGCAATTACACACCTATTACTATGAATATTTTTTTTTGTTATCCAGTGCACTCACCTTTTTTAACTTAGCAGCACATTCAGTTTTAAAACAATATATTATTTAGCTTCACAATCTTGATACTAACTGTTTGTATCTTAAGGTAAACAGCATGTTCCTCCAATAATATAAGATTAATAAAGACCCAACAATCTTCAACAGAAAGTGCTTGACTCTAGGAGAACTCATACCTTTTGCTGTGCAAGACAAACACCGTGAAAGCAACTAAGCTTTTGAAGCTAAAAGGGAACATGAGATTTCCCACCTAAATAAAGCTGCAAACCCCACCAGGAAAAGCAAACTGAAAATACAGCAGGCGGATGAATAGATGAGGCCTAGGAGTATTCCAACAATATTCCTGTGGAAAACAATACAGGAATCTCCACTAAAGAGAAACAAATTGTCACACAATGCATTTCTTTACTGAAAGAAAGACTTTTCCACAAATATAAGTGCAAGACCATGACACAATCAAGGAGCAGGTTCAGGCATCCGATGAAATGTTGGCCCAGCTCAAGGCTAAAATTAGAATCTGATTTTGGCAGCAGTCCCAAAGTCTTCATCTACACGGAGAACTGCTATTGAGTTTGTCATTATCAACCGCCAGTCCAAGACAGCTAAGGCCTTTCAGGGAGAGAAGGTGCATATCAGATCCAAATCTGATATTCAAATCCTGGGTGGAGACCGCTCAGGTAGTGTGGCTATTTTATAAGAAAAGAAGATGTGAGCTGGTTCATGGGCAGAGAGAGAGACTGATTCTGTTTGTGCCATCATAAACGGTGCGTTCTTTGAAATCTTTCAGGGGCCTTCGATCACAGCCAAAGAGGATGTAACGCCATTTGACCAAGTGAAAGGATGAGTTACTGTTCAGGACGGGAGGCCCAGGTGATGCCTGCTGATCAGAAGACACACGTGGCTGAATCCAACAGCCTTGCATCTGAATGGACCCACACTGCTTATCAAGAACTGACAAAAACCCAAAAGCCCAAGGGCGAGGTCACAAACGATAGCGTTCTTCTCGCACAAGATATCTCTATTTGTAAGCATAAAATACTGCCCAAACCACCTTTCCACATCAGGTTTTGAGAGTGATGCGGCGAATAAGGGTTTGTCAGGAGTCTCAACACAGATCTCCTTTGACGAGCCGTGTGTCATGACAGGGATGTCACCCAGGACGATATTAACGCTGTCACAATTTCTCCCAAGGGCAAATACGCATAGAAAAATCAAAACACGTCAAGGCTTTAAGTAACTGTTTTCATGTGGAATTACGAGTGTCCAGCTTTTTCGGTATATTTTTGTCGCATGATGCCCCTTAAAAAATCGACTTCGGCAGCTACTGATTTTTTTAGTCAAAAACACGGATACTCCACCGGTTTCGAAAAGTAGGCGTGTATGTCGTTGGGGTTTTTTTTTCCCAGCCTGTCACTCAGCGGGTCTCACTGATCACTACTCCGGGACTCTGTTCAAGTTTTAGTCCTAAGGTTTACCCACCCACACATACATCTACGCTGAATTAAACGTTTTGACAATATTAGCTTTCAGCAGAGAGAACAGGGGCGTGGTGTGCAATAATCACGGCTGTTTCATATAGGTATGGTTCATAATGATTAAAAAAAACATGTTTAACTCAGAGGGCATGGAATAAATACAGTAGGTTAGTTATATTGGGAGTATCGGGACATAATTAGGTATACGCAAATTAAAATAAAAGACCTACGTGAATTGAAATAGATTTTAGAATACCCTAGATTATGTAAATTAACACTTTCGTTTATCACCTTCGATCGCCAGACACCGACAAACACCTCACTAAAACTTTTTTTCCCCCAGGTTGGTTTTGTTAAACCCAAAGGAAAAAAAAAGAAATCAGGTTACACGGAAATGCACAGGCACACAGACACACAGTACATTTCTACAAAGTTACAGCCCACTTGATTGCACAAAATGTGTGGGCGTCTGTGACAGCTAAATTGCTAGATTACAGCGAAGATCCAAGCAGCCCCGTACAATGGGAGTTAAACAGCGTAACATTAACTCACTTACAGCAATGTGACAACACCAATGAGCGATTGTACCCCACAGATTATTGAGCAAGCATCCCAGACTTTGACTATGCTCCGTCATCTCTGAGACAGACTGACATACAGTCATTAATATACAGTACACTTAGACATCACGAATATCACTATATCACAGTACACAGAAAGCACTACATTTAAAGCAAGTCTCGTGTCTGCAGTTACGACTCCTCGACGCACAGAAAAGATATCCGAATACGAAAAAAAAAACTTTAATCTTTTGGTATGTGCTATGCAAATGCAAAAGGAGACTCCATATAAACCACAGAGAACACTGAATCACAAAACTTCAGATATTAACAATTTCATCAAGGGAATGCATACAAATAATTACCTTGTTTATTCCATTTCCCATTGTTACGGAGGGCTTCAGCACATCGGGTGCGCGGCTTTACAATGCACAATTTCTTCGGTTTTAAGGTGATTTTAATACTAAGCGATAGCCTTAGGTCCTTCTGTGCTGGCTATCAAGCTCCCAGTATCTACAAGCACCAGAAAGTCAGATTTGCGTAGTGCACCGTAGGAGCTGTAGTTCTTCAGATGGTTTGTGGTTGGCTAAGCATCTGCTCGTAAGGGAAAATGAACTACATATCCCAGCCTTTACCTTCTATTCAAAGGCGTAACAAAAATCTGCCTTTTAAATGCTAAAATCGAGCAATTTGGGGGTGGTGCACTCCCAGTAAAGTGAACGAAGACGAGGCTGAAGTTTGCACACAAACTTCTTATGAAGACGTACTTTGTTTTTCTTGTTCACATTAAAATTATTGTAACAGCACTCATATTGCTGTGCAGAATCACGTCAGAAAAGAAAAGAAGTCGAAATCTATTTGGTCACGTTTTTTTCTCATCATCTAAGAAGAACAAGAAAGCCACAATCAGAAAATAAAAATGTTAATTATGTTTACAAATAATCACGCCCTTTCGTACTGTAATGGTGACAGTTGTTTTTTTTTATTTAAATTAATGAGTTAAATGTTGCACAGAAATCAATATTTACTACTGTATGTAATACAGTATTTACTATTACGTACTAGAATATTATGCTAGTCTACATTACAGTGCATTCTGCGGTATGTTTTTGAGCTAGTTGTTTGAAAGGGTGTGGATATACCATAAGAGGACATTGTACTACCATCAGCCCGGCAAATTAGTTACTTTTTTAAAAAGTGGCGCACCTTGACGATGTGTGTGTGGTTCAGATTCTGCTATTTGCAATGAATGTCCAATTCAATTCAATCTGCTGTTTGAGTTGAGCTTTTTGCATTTTTATCGCTGTTTTCTAGTCTGAACTAAAAAAGGATGTAATATTGTTTAATATTCACACTGTTTGTGTGGGACAAGTGAACATAAGCAATCTAGGTCAATTAAAGCGGGATTCACCAGCCCTGGTACTACAGTATATAGCCAGAGTGAGGCTTGTCTTACAGGTCTCCCAAATTGCAAAGATTGGCAACACTTCTTAGACATTGAAGAACTGAAAATGAAGAGATCCCTGTACTTGAAGATTAAAGATTACTTATATTTTGGTCCCTGGTGGTCTCTAAACTACTTAAATCATCTGCTTAACGGATGGTGATTTAGTGGTAACCCAAAACTTCTTCTGGACAGGGGGTCTCTGGGACCTGGGCCGAAGGCTTAATCTTTCAATGTGTGAGAGAGACAAAAAAAAACTCCAGTTGGTATTGAGGAGAAGGGGAGCTTTTCTGGGGTCATACTGTACACATTTACGGCACCGGATGAATTTCTTAGTGGTGGTTTTCTTATCAGAGACAAAAGTGTTTCTAAAAATATGTATTTTCCATAAGAAGCTAATATACTGTACATTATCTCCATATATTCCCATTAAAACTACAGTTTGGAGTTGTATATGTAATGGTAAAATTCACTCATGTCAGTTAAATGCAGTTTGTGTTTGTGTTCATGCACATGTAAAGTGAAAAAAATGAAAGCTCTTATCATGTGATGTGATGTGTGATGTGTTTATAAAAAAGTACATTAAAGCTGGCTTTGAAATTTGAAAATACTAACCTACTTATTTTTTCAGTTTAGTTGTTATTCATACTGGGAGTACTGGACCTGAAACTGACTAGTCAATATGGTTATAAATTGCAGTACTTCTGAGTCAATTCTCTTTGAGAACATAGCTTAACAAAGATATGGAATTTCCCTTGAATTATAGCCTACTTTTAATCATACTCTCTGTATGTAATAATATGCATTGTCACATTTTCATCTGTTCTCTAGTCGGATGTTTCTTATGTAATATCCCCAAAAGTTTGAACATATTATCTCACTGGTATTTATCATTATGTATAATTAATTACATATGAGAAAAAAAACGTGACACTATCGAGGTCAAATACAATAATAATGAATTATATTGAGCTTTAAGCATTCTGGTAAGGGAATGTCCTACAGTGGCAGGCTGAAGGAACTGAACATTTTTAGGCTTGAACAGAGAAGACTATCAGGGTAGCTGGTTCTCTGATAACTACGAAACAGGTGAGAGGGACCAAGTGGCCTCATTCTCATCTGTAATCTTTCTTATGTTATGTTTTTTTTTAATATGTAGGCTTTTTTTTCTGTAAATACACACCCTGAATATGAGAGAATCTGGTCCAGGTATACCATATAATAAATCCATAATAAATGCCTTTAATAACAGGTACAAAGTCTTCAGACTGCAGACTACCACACCACCAACAGGAAATAGAGGAGAACCAGTTGATGTCTGAAGTGCAGTTATAGTCATTAACGGAGCTTTATGTTACTGTGATTTAGAACAGTCCACTGAAACTGCGACCAAGGAACAGTCGGTCCGGGAGGAAGTGGGAGGCTTGCTTCTTCTGCACTTCAAACACAACAGAACAGACATATTTTGTTCTTGGCAGACAAATATAAAAAAGAAACCCCAGCCACAGGTTCTCTGTGAGGACTGTAATGTGATGTCTCCAGCGAGCGATACAGCAGAAGAGGAGTGAGCTGAAAAAACTTTTTCTCTGTACTGTCAGTCATTATCTGCTGCAGGGCTATCCCCCTTTGGGATCACTGACATCTTTTTCTGATTGGTGCCCTTTTTTGTCGGCTGAGTTAATCTTAGGTACAGTATTTTTAAGCACAAATATATCCGTTCTTGAGTCTTTCATGTTCAGTTTTCTGTTTTACTTTGACACTTTCCCATTACCTGCTAGATGGGTCAAGAATGGTGAACTTGCTGGGCCATAATTCCACTCTTTCTCCACTTAATACTGTAATTAAAACCATGTCGTTGTTCGAACATTTTGTGTTGCAGTTCACAAGTTTAGTCCAACAGACCTGCTTTGCTGTACACTCTGTATACAACACTGCACACATTAACACATTGTGGAAATGCTAAAACTGCGGGGGGTTTTTCACTGTTTCTTGTGGATTGAGGCCAGTTAGTACTCTCTGTGTCTGGTGGCACATATTCAAAGTAGATTCCTTGTTCTGCAGCTTGGCATAATTTGAATTGCCATTATGTCATTCTGTATAACTTCATATATAATAATAAAAACATGTATTGAGGAATGCGCTGGGGGTGACTGCATAGTCACTTCATATCATGTGACTGAATTCAGCGCAAATGTTTAGGGTTTATGTTTTTTTTTTAGGACTCTTGATTGCTCCACACCTCTTTAGTGATTAAGGAAGTATTTCATTTCAAAGAAAACATAGGTAATTGAGGCCATTACAACAGCCTTTGAACTACTCCAACCTCAAAGATCTTGATGTGCTGATTAAAGCTTTTGAAACAGCCTTAAGGACCCTTTAATTCTGGGTTGTAATGCTTGTGAATTCAGCTTCTGCTAACAGAGCTGCAATTATGCAAGTTGGCACTATTGTTTTAACTGTGAATTAGCATATGTGCTAGATTCCTCTCGAAGCAGGAAAAACAGTTTGGCCATGTGCTGTCTTAGGTCAAATACTCTACATTTTGTTTTGTTTTCCTTAAGCTGAACTCTTTCTGTTGTCATTGTGGTGCTTGTCATAGACTGTAATACAAGTTTCAAGGATCTTTTTATTTCACGGTACATGTCTCTCAATGTCAGCGTCTTGCTGTGGAAATTCTAACTCTTGAGTTACAGTCAGATCTCACAAGCTAACATCTCAAAGCTGGGTCTGATCAGCACTGGGAGGGGAGACCTTCCACGAAAGCCAAGGTGCTGCTTCACGCAGTGTTGGCGGACCATCAGGTGGCAGTCTTCCTTCTTGGGTACCAGTGGCCCAGTATAGAGACAAGACAGTGATCTGTAGGAGGGTCTTCCCTCTGGATGAAACGATAAACCTAGGTCAGGCGTGCCCAACCAGTCGATCACAATCGACCAGTCGATCACAATCGACCAGTCGATGCCGGAGTGCTTGCCAGTTGATCGATCGTAAGAATGTTTGGCGAAAAATAAATGGTCTATTTGACTGTTTACTTTTTTTATAGCCTAAAAAATCATCCAGATCTGTGCATGGTAATGTCATACATTTTACTGCCCTTGTATATGTTTAACCCTTGTTGAATGGCTTGTAAAGGTCTCTTCCCTGAGTGCTGGCTGACACTGAAAAAAAACTTCGTAAACAGAGAGTGTTGCGTGTGTGTGCTGCCCAAGACCGGTCTCTTGGTTATTGCCACACGAACCCCACATGCGCTACAGCTCACAGTGGAGCGAAAAAAAGACTGGCCGTGACAAATTCGCCAACAGTTTGATAAGTTTGAGTGCCTATTTGATAACTGTAGTGTTTGAGCGAAAATGATGAATGTTGACCTGCAGGGACACAATAAAAATGTCATCGACATGATCAGCAGTGTCAACGTTAAAAAAAATTACAAGTGTTCTCAAGTAAGCTTCTCAGTGCCAGTGCTCACATTAAGGTAGGGTATTTTTTTTTCTTAAATGGGGAACATTACTTGTTCACTGTAGCATGAGTCACTTGCTTTTATTTGCTGTCATTTTAGTGATGGTATCGTTATTGTACTGATGTGCCCACAGTCTGTTTTTCCTATATCAGAGCTTCAAATTCACACTGGTTGATCATGCTGGATTGGCAAATGGAAAAGTAGATCTTACATTTAATAAGTTTGGGCACCCCCGATATACACGTTCTTGAGAAAACAGATCTTATCTAATAAGATCTTTACTAATAGTAAAAAGTAGTGAGGTGTGTGTAGTATTACTGAAAGAGTCAACCGGTCTGAAAATGGATGGACTGTTATATAAAGGAGCTTTTTATATACAGTGTGTTACTAATTCACATGATATTTATAACAAGGTAATAAAACGCTAGCTTGCTTTTTGCTTTACTACAAAGTGTGAAAGACTGTACCCAAACACACAGAAGTTCACCTTGCTCTTTCATATGAGGCGGCCTGCGTGCAGCAGGAACCATGACTTACTTTGTGTAGCGTACTGTAGGTGTATGATACTGTAAATGAAGCTCATTGTTTCTGTGGGGGTGTACAGTGTCAGGAGGAAGTGCAGTATTAATCAGCTGTTTTCACCTCCAATTT